CCATCCACCTTCTCAACACCCCCGGGGAAGGCCACGTACGGAGGGCCCAAAGTCCGTACGTACGGGCCGTACGGGCGTTGAGGGCCCGTACGTACGGTCGTACGGGAGTACGGACAGGCCGTCCCCGTACAAGGTGACTACACTGGTTAAAACAGGACAAGAAAACAATAAAATTGGATAAGAATCATAAAACAAAAGATTTGAAGATTTCAGATTCTGAAGAAACTGGGAGGAGGAGGAGCAGGAGCATAAGGGTTGGAGGGGGATAAGTCCGAACAAAAGACAAAGTCAAATTTCACATCCCTTCCCCAATTCCAATTCAATTAATTCAATCTGCATTGGCCTATTGCTAGGCTGAAGAGGAGAGTCATCTATATGTAGCGGCAGTACAGCGCTATTCCCAGCCCCAAGAGGTGGATGGGCATCGTACACTTGCGCCGGAAGCTCTCTTCAAACTAAGATTTCATCCATTGAGTCCTAGAGAGTATGTCACACTCACCCATCTTTATCAAGATCAAACTGGTTGAACACACCCACAATTTTCTTATCCGGCACGCTCAGCAACGACAGAAAGAAGGTGAACCTGTACACAGAGAGCATTTCCAAAAGCTCGTAAGAAACCGGGATAAATATTGCCCATCTACAGGGCCGGTACGGCCCTGGCCAACTTTTCTTTCCTGGAGTTCCGTCTACAATTGTCCAGCAGGAAACTTTTCGTCTTCCTAATTATGAAAGCCCAAAACCTGGGAATCTCCATAGCACAAGTTCCATTTTCTCTTCAGAGATTACTCATGCTGTCAGACATGTCTTTTTTTTTTTTTCCCAATTATTAACTAGGCTACCAGCCGGGCCACCCGGGTCACCCTGTTTTCCCGGGCAGCCTGGCCGTGCAAGGACCAGGGAAGGTCCAAGCAAAAAAATAAAAAATCAAGAAAATCCGAAAACAAACAATGTTATGCAGAAAAATAAAGTGAACAACGTTTGCCTCAGGGTCGCATCGAAATTTTTTACCAAATTTTAAATAAAAAATAAAATTGAAATATAACTCTTATTTATGATTTATCTACATTATCTTACTTCTTTTGTTTTTGGCCCGGCCGGGCAATGGGCCCCGGGTCACTCTGGTAGCCTAGATTATAAACAATTTCAAGTAGTATATAGTATATTATATATCTGTTTGACAATATATATTATACATTTATATATCTGTTTGACGATATATAATGAAATAACTACTATAACTCATTATGCTGCTGCCACCATTCGTTATAAGCTACATATATGTTTCACATGACTTTCCCCACAAATCGAAGCGTCGATTTCAAAATCAATGGACCAGTTGCCAGTTCAACAAAGGGTGCTCCTGTTGGGATGGACCTTAAGTCCAAGTCCAAGTACACATCCATCCACAAATTTTCCTTCTTCTTCTTACTTTTTTTTCCCAAACAGGTCCTTATGGGCCCAGCCCCATATCCATTCCACGGCGCATCAGTTTGCCTCCTAATCCTCCGGCAAATCACAAAAGTTACACGGTAGACCCACTCTTGAGGCTTCCCCGCATTACAGCCCGGGGAACCCCTGGCAACATTTATTACTTCCGTAAACGGGATTGACGAACAGTCAAGCCCATATCCTTGTGTGTCTATAACCCCTCCAATCATCTTGATTTATGTGTGTGACCCATTCACAGGGGCCTGCTAATCTCCTCTGTATTGTTCCAATTCTAATGTTAAATCCGGTGTGGGTGAGCGATAGTCTGCTTTGATTTTCCATCTGGTGAGGGTGAGCGATAGTCTGCTTTGATGTTCGTCACAGGTACCTTGAGGGCAGTGGTTGGTGCCCACCTCAGGGTATCAGTTGTCGGGCAGTTGTTGATGCTTAACCACTGCGGGGGTTAAGGTGGATTATCACATACAGTGTAATCGGTTAGGGGATTCTGCAGACTGTTGAGGGTTCAGCCTCCTGATGAGTCGGTGAAACTCCGACGAAACAGTTTGTCACAACCCCTTGTTTGTTGTCCACTTCTCCCTCTCTGCCTACGGTTTACCGGGCAGCTCTGTTTGATGATATATATATTGTCACATCACTACAAACTAAAAGAGCGCACTTTGCGGAACAAAGAATAAAAGCAAAAAACGGGCACAGTGATAACATGCAAAAATAAAAAGAAAAACAAAAACAAAAAGAAAAAACA